AAAAAAATAATTAATGCATTATTATTTGTACATTTGCCCAAAAGCAGTCAAAATGACTTCCTTGGGCAATCTAGTGTTAAGAATCTTAATATATTTGTATTGGATTAACTGAGTCGTTACGTAATTTACTAAACGCCTTGATGTGTTGCGTTTAATATTTGACGTCTATTTTAAACGAATACTCGTCAAAATTATTAATACTCTTGCGAACTGATAACCAGTGATATTAATAAAGTTTTGATTTCATAATTGTGATACATTTTGATTAATCTGGCTTCAATACATGAAATTTGATTTAACATTACGCTATCAGTCATTCATATGATCAATAACATACATTCAGCTCGTAATTTGAATGAAACACCTGCATCAAATATGAAATTGTTTCAGATAACAATTAAAGACAATAACGAATGGAAATAAATCGATAATTCATGGAACTTTAAAAATATTGAGAAATCCGTAAAAACGTATTGATTATCCTCTCATCCTGTTAAGGCCTGATTGAAGCAGAATTCCTTTTTAGTGTATTCCTCCACGTTTCAATTTCCTAAGTTCAGGTTTCTGGCCTGGACGTTGATATGTCAGTCAGTACAAATATACTAATGTACACGTCGTTTGTTTCATTTTCCAGGTGGCATGGCTGAGGGTGGACACGCAGACTATCTTGACGATAGCCCATCACGTGATCACGAAGAATCACAGGATCGGCGTGACGCACACCGAGCACAAGACCTGGTGTCTGCACATACGCGACGTACGCGAGTCCGACCGGGGCGCGTACATGTGTCAGATAAATACCGACCCGATGAAGAGTCAGACCGGCTACTTGGAAGTTGTAGGTTGGTCCATTGTGCTTCATACCGTGCCACGCTGATCTCGCCTAGCGTTACTCGACACAACGCCGCGAAATTTTATGCAGAAACTCTTTCAGTTCGAAAAATGATATGTAAATAGGATTTCACTTTGCTTTTTAAATATTATAGTAAGCACTTTACTTTGGAATTTGCATAGATTTCTGCATTTATAAAATTAGACCATGAAATTATGGCAGGGGCTTCTAGTTTTATAGATTCCTTATTATCATCAGACTGCAGGTTTTTAGATATTTACAAGAGGCACAAGTGTGCTGAATTTTGAACAATGCAGTTGATATGCAGAGGCATATGAAATGTTAGAAGCAAAGTGCATGCTACGATATTTAATTAGAGAAACAGAACACATTTGAATTTCGTTTTTTAATCCTATATGCATTCTCAGTATTCCACTCTGCATAAAAATTCGCACAAAAATCTACATTTTGCACACAAATATTATATAAAACATATGAAACTGCAATGATTAGTAAATTTCAGTAAAGTTCATCGTACGAATTTAATTTATACTATAGATTAGTTAAGTTAGATAAGTTATAAATTATTAACTTACAGTAATTCAACGGGTTATTAATATTAATAAATATAATTGTCGGTAGTTAAAAGGATTCGGTGTCTATTGTAATAAGGATTTGCTCTGTTATATAGGTTTCGCTACAATGTCGTGTGAAATCCTACATTTACATTTGCGTAAGCTACTCTAATTCCATTCTCAATATCTCCTATTCTTTGGATTATGCTATTCTCCGCACTTTGTAACGCAACCACGTACACACGTGAAAATTAACTTCATTATTAGCCAAATTAGCGATTTAGTGACTGGGAACAAGTGTATAACATTTCACTCATGACTTCCGTTGACCAATTTACAAGATAAAATATTATGCAAATATCATTGAAATATGTTTTTAAAATATCTCTTTATATTTTTCTTCTATTTCGAATAATACAGGATTAATCGATTAATTATTTCGTTCATCGTCAATTATTGTTTAACAAGTGTCCTGCTTTCTATTCTTTACTTCGATGACAGTACATTGTAACAGCGTAAAAAAATTGCAGACTTCTTCGCGCGATACAAAGTCCCATAAGACTGCCACTCTTGAAAAAGAATAAAAGCACGCGTTACTAATTCATTACCCGGAAGCTTAATCGGGATCCTATTATTTCAAATTATAGGCTGGCCCCGAACTTTTTCCCCCGGTTCCTTTCTTAATTCCGAAACAGCCTTTCAACTTTCCCCGTTGCCAGACTATCTAAACTTCCCGATGAAACTTGATGGGACTTTTTACTGATTTTCTTTCCAAGCCGTCTTAACGCTTTTCCTATTTTGTAAACTGTACTTTCCTGTCTTTGTTTTTTTGTGCAATTCGTAGCTACTCGAGGTTGATTGCTTTTTAACAGGTTGGAGAAACTGATTGCTTTTCAAATGTGAAAATCTATTGGTTTCCTTCAATCTATAAAAACTACTGTCGGTTTTAGGATCGCTTTTATGATCTAATAGGAAAAAATATTGATATCTGTCATATTTTAATTCAGTTAAAATAGCACATTTAATTTCGACTCTTTTATAATAATCTCTTCTTTATTCGTGAAATTCGAAATTTTGATTCCAGTCCCACCTGACATTTTGGATTATATGACAAGCACGGATATGGTGGTCAGAGAAGGCAGCAACGTTACATTGAAATGCGCTGCCAAAGGGTCTCCGGCGCCGAATATCACTTGGAGGCGAGAGGACGGAGAAACGATACTTCATAATAATAACGCAGACAGTAAGTAGTGACCCGGTCAATATTATTTAAATCTGATCGAAAGAACATGAGAAGCTGCATTTATTTCAAAATATTTAATCGTTAATTGTAATATACTTTGATTCTTCTCTATTTTTACCGCATCATGTAAAACGAAATTGTTCCAATACCTGCATAATTCAACGCATTTCAGTTGCACATTAATGACGCAGTCATGCTGTCATTCATTTATATGAACGACAAAATTTGCAATGAAATTAAATAGTCCATTGGGACCAGTCATTCACATATAACTGACAACGCTCGATAAAGCATTATCCCAAACCAGAAATCGTCCTTTTTTTTTTAAAATCAATCCTACCTCAGTAAATGTGAAACTGCTGCAAACATAATTACAATTTTCAATATTTATTATATCCCTTAAAATATGAAATGTCGTAAGAACTTCCTTTAAACGTCATTTATGCACTTTACTTTTGTACATAATATACAAAAATAATTGCGAATGCTCTGACTACATGCAACGTACTACAGCAGATGTCAATTACTCTCTTGCAATAGTTTAACAACTCCTAACTGAAAAACTGAAGCGTGCTAAAAAAACGCTGATTTAGAAAACTATGCTTAATATTTTACGTGGCACAATGACGCACGGAGTGTTAAGTTGACCAGGTGATTCGCTGATGTGTATGTCGAAGTGAAATGGAAATTTATCACCGGCGGCTTTCAAACTTATTCAACGAGCGAAGTGCGAAATGTAATGGCAGTATACCGGTGGCATGTCTATGATGTTAGAATGAAATACAAGGACGACGTTTCGCGCACCGGCGTATTCTGATTCGCGTATGCGCGCGTATACATATATGTATGTATGTACACGATCGTACATGCACTTAGCTATTGCCAATGGCGAAGACTCCGCGAGCGAGACGCGATAACGATTTATCATCTTTTTTGTCTTTCAGCCGCATCCGACTGTTGCTCGCGCCCGGGGGTTCTACCCGCGGGAAACTGCCGAGCCTGTGCGCAAGAAAAATGTCCCCTGTGTTTCGAACGTTTACTCGTACGCGATAGAGCTCTACCAGCGGGTTGACAAATTTCCACCGATCTCTTTATCTTCATATTTTCTGTCTTAATTTTCGAGAGTGGTTTTTGTCTCTACAATGAAAATCGAGAGACGCATTATTTGTGAAACGACCTATGTACCTAACGAATGCTAACAGATTGCGATAGATCGTAATTATTTCTGTTTTCAACTTTCACTGGGATTAATTGACAAAAGAATGAACGATCACGTTCCATTCAATAACACATTCATAATTCAGGCGATTTCGTCTTTAGGCGTGTGCATATCTGAAATACTGTGCGCACGTCATTGAAACGAACAGCCGAGCATCGAAATAACAATAGATAAAAATCCAAAAAGGGGAGATGAAGAGAAGCGAAATGTACGGCAGGCCGTACAATCGAATTAAATTGTGGCTTTGATCATAGACCGCGCCACTTCTTGTTTGTTCGCGCTTACCTTCTCCGCGCGAGCACTCGATACCTTTTCAGTTCCTCTTTCGGCGTTGTTTTATTTCCGCTCCGAATTCCCCGGTTTTCGAGGACGCATCGGTTTCGCTCCTCGCGCGAGTTCATCTGACACACGTGAACGCGTGTATAAAATCGCGGACAGACCCGGCCCCGAGAACCTATTTGCTCGGAAACTGTTCGCAAATACGCGGCGAAAATAAAGCCTCTCCACCGTCAGTGTCACGGGAATTCTTTGCCCGAGCTACCTCTTTGACGCTGTTACAGACATACCAGCCCCGATTAAACGTCGTAATTTCAATTCATTATTCGCTTCCGTACAATTTCCTTCGTGCGGGGAAATAAAAGTCAAACACGTGAATATAGTTCAAAAATAATAAAAATTTGCTCAAACGTTTTAAGATATAATGCGAATTTAATTAAAGTGTATGCGTTCACATATAAATTATTTTCCCACCTGTGTATTGTCCCAAATAATTCATATAGCATGCATGCATGCATGTATGTATGACTAGATACCTGCGACCTGAAACCGTCGGGGTAGATGAAGTTACCTGATACTCGCCAACAATCGGATAAGATAGTATGTAACGGTTAACCGGTTAACGAGTAATTAATTAAAGCGAGAACACGTCGGGCACCCAGTTTGGTCACCGGCTTATACACGTACACACGGTTGGACGCGCGGGCGAGTACATAGATATAGGGCCGGGAGAATCAACTCGGTCTGTCGTTTCAATAACATAAATTGCTTCCATGCAGAAATTAAGCGCTTAGGGCCGCGTGGAGCCGGCCGCTGGGCGAATCGAAAATTCGACCGGGAAACGACCGAGCTCGGTGACCGCCTTTTAGTTTTCCACCGCGAGATTTACGTTCAACGAGTGAACGTGTTCTATCTGCGGTTACCGTTGTAACCCACCATTGACACCGCCCTCGCGCGCGATGCAACAAAAAGGGTAGCGCGCGTCGCGAATTACTCGGCTACTGTTTGTCAAACAATGCAAATTGCTTGTACTATATTTTCATATTCAATGCGTCTTCTTTTGTGATGTTTTCATGTAAGAATGAATGGTTGTCAGAAATAATAACACGGTGTTCATTGATTTTACTGTCGAATTGAAAAGCTGTGATATTTTGTTTATTATAATAAAATAAATCGATTTAAGGAGATATCGAAATAACAAATTTATGCGACGCGTGTTTGACGATCATTTCTGGATGAAATGAGAACATCAATCTATGTACAAATTTATTTAATGCAATATTATCGTTTCGTACCGTTCGTCGTCAGTATGCAAAATTGAATTAAAAAGTGGCTATGTTTATGCATTGCTCTACGAAACACATGATAAATATTAACCAATTAGTAATACAACTATTCGGAATCTCTGCTCTGATTCTGCAGCTTGTAGTTTTTAGGAAAACACAATCAAACCGCGAACATTATAACGTAATGCAATCAGACACTTGCACGAGTAAACCATGATTAACAAGAAATTCTCGACAAGCGTTGCGCCCGGAACGCAATTCGCCGGGAATGTGTTCGTAGCGTTGAATGTTGGCCGGGATTAAACGGACTAACAAAAAGCCACCGAGCGCTGTGTCGCACCGTAGTAGGTATCGAAGGCGCAGAAGTACAGACAGAGACCTGTGCTCCGTTAACATTAATTTCGCTCACGCCGCCACGAACTTTTTGCCAGCGAGAAATCAGCGCCGTTGTTTCGTGAATGATCACCGATTGCGTTCAATAAATTGCGAGCCCCGTAAATACTGCGGGTGCTCAAGCCATTGTGATTAGTTGTACCTTCGATGTGAATGGAACGATCATTTCTGATAATATATCTACTGGCAGAATTAAAAGAGAATTAAGAATGTATTTTACGGATAGCAAACTTTAGTCTTTAATCAAATACACTGAAATTTCTATTTTAGTGACAATAGTCAAATTTTGTCTAGTTATGTAGATATATTCTGAAGAACGATAACTTTTTTCCTTCCCTGAGCTTTACAAGCATATTTATATGGTTCTATTTACTTCTGTTACAGTGAAAGTGGTGGAAGGGCCGACGTTCAATATTACTAAAATAAACCGACTGCAGATGGGTGCATATTTATGCATCGCATCGAATGGTGTGCCGCCTACAGTCAGTAAAAGGATAATGGTCACAGTACACTGTAAGTGACCACGTTATACATACAATATAATATTACATGATAAGTTTTAAGGAAACTGAGAGATTGTACTTTTTAAAACATTCTCTATTTCTCTACTTATATACTTCTTCTCTATCTTATGTGATATATGATGTATCGAAGACTATACACTTGTAAAGAATTTTGTAATTTTAATTAATTACGTTGTTTATATGTAAGTAAATTTAATGTTTGCAGTTAGTCCAATGATATCTATCCAGAATCAGTTGGTTGGGGCACAAGTGGGACAAAGAATGACGCTCGAGTGCAATTCAGAAGCCTTCCCGAACTCGATCAATTATTGGACGAAGGAGAACAACGAGATCATAAAAAGCGGTAAGCCACCATTGATTAAACACTGTGCACTTGTACTCGAGATCCATTTAAGTGGCCTTGTTAAAATACAAATATTAAATTAAACTTTTACTTATATTCATATTTCTCAACAATTATGACAATCAACTTTAATTTCTCATAAATATTAATTGCAAGCTTGTTCAGTTTCATGTGAGATATTTCATATATAATTATAAAATTCAAACTAAACTAATCTATTTTATTTGAAATGAAACGTCGCATCGAAAATCTAAAATCGATTACATAGAACAAGGGCACACGAATTTACTAAAATTAATGGTCTCTCGCTCGACCGTAGGAAGTATGACTGAGGAAAATTTATAGTACTGAAAGATTGATTAGTTTTGCATTAAACCGGTGGTGTTCAACAATATTGAGAAACTTAGGCTATTTGAATGGGTCAAAATATCAGCTTAAAAATGATAGATCGTTAATATCCGAATTAAATAATAATATTTTAAACACCGATGTCATTAGCATTTATAACAGAAACCTGATTAAATAAAAATCTGAAATAATATAATGCAATTTCAAATTATGACGTAGGAACGTAAAAAATTTCCGGGAATTCAAACATTCTCTTATATACAATAAATATAAAAATCACTGGCTACATAAAGACTGTCACGTTAAGGAATTCAGAGTTGGACAAAAGAATTACGACCGCACCTTATGATCTCAAGGGGATTACGTTGCATCAGGGCGATGCGTCAACTGTATGTTAACAGTGGGGGCTGCAATAAAATCGAGCACAATGGTCACGGTAATAAAATCGAAGTAAAAGTTGGTTCTGTACGTGCGCGACCACCGCACCGTGCTGTGTTTTACGAGGTTCACGCGTAAACGCGAAAGGGTCTCCGTGGGTCCGTCGGTGCTTTTACGTTTCCGCGTGCGTTTGTAATGGACGTGTTCCCAGTTCCTGGCGCTGCTAATTCACTGAAGAGCGATTGAACCGTACTGCCCAACATAGTTAATGCTGTTTTATTAACGAGTGTACACACACTGTACACGCCGCGTATCTATGTACCGGGCCGTACCGCACATTACCGAAACGGAACGGGTCGAACAGCGTCGCAGTTGGACACAGTACATACGCGCATGTACTTATGTACATACACACACATAGCCAGAAAATGCATGGAGGCGCTATAATTACTTCGAATAATGAGACTTTCGTGTTAAACTTTTCGCGCGGACGCGGATTATTTACAGAACGTTTTATCGTTCCACGGTGCTTGCACCCTCCCGGAACAATGCGTGCTGCAACGTGCTCAAGCATCGATTCTAAAATCCCTCTGTAACGAGTACATAAGTCATCTGAAATTATTCCTCTTTACATTCGTATCGGTTTTATCCTCAAGCTAAATAAAAATCAACTCTGATTCCCTGAAGTAGAAGAAACAATTTTAATTATGACTGTAATCGTTGTTATTCTTTAGCAATAATAATACTTCATAATTTATTCGTAATAATTCTTATTCGTCCATTACGTGTCTTACAAAAAATATGTTATTTCCAAGACGTAAAATATACTGACAACGCGAAGACTCGTAACGTTTATTACGTGCATACACAACCACTCTAAATCCCTGAATATATCACCGCCGGGGACTGGCTTAATGCGCCTAACAGAAAAGAGCGAACAGTTACAGAAGGTACATCGTCGAATGCGCCGGGTCGCATGTCGCTTAATTATTTCGGATAACGAGACACGGTATGCGCTAAGGTCGTAGGCTGTGGTAACCGTATGGAGTAACGCGTCTTCGGAACCGTTAATGCGCCAGCCTGCTCCAGACCGGGGGTGTATGTACGGATGACGCAGATGCAGTAAGAAAACCGAAGCTGTACGTATGGGCCCGTGTACGCGGAGTCGCTAATCGCACACCTAATTAAGTTCATTTCGGATGCGACACACGCAGCGTCTACGTTTTCCTAATAAAGACACCGCGGTTCGAATCCATTGAAGTATTCCGAACAGTCACAAGTGCACAAACGCAGTTTCATCATCGTGTTACCAGTAATATGTATAATTAAAAATTTTTTATATATTTATATTGGATTTTCATATTTATTTATGTTTAAATAATATTAATGTTGGTATTAATGATACCATCCGTCCAGCGACGTTGCCAGGCGTGTTTTATGATGAACGGGAGAAATTTTTCATCTTGGGAAAGGAAACATTTCTAGGTCCATATTCACATTTTATATCCACGCATTTTACGACGTGCATACAGAATAAACTTCTTCAATTTACTTACTTAACTACATGTCATACGTATGATATAAGTGTGATGGGTAATATCGCAAGAGCTGTAATCGTAGACGTTGTAAACATTAAAATTTTCATAATAATTTCTGTCATACTTATTCATATAACAATTTCTATCTTTTAATCGCGAATTATTTTCAGTGTGTTTTAAATGATTATGTGTATTTATGTATTCTAAAATAATTAATGTGCTAGTAGGGATTAACTGAAGCACGATGTGCAAATTTTCAATATTGTAATCATAAAATACAAGCAAATATTAACTTTTATTCAGTTATGATATTCTCTGAAATGTTGTCACTATAAATAAAGGATTAATTCTACGCGCATGCAAATAATTAATTTGGTACTGCCTAGGACGTTGAATTCGCGTGCATCAAACTTGGATCGTGTAAGTGTCAATAAATCATTGAACAGTTCATTCTGATATTATTTTCGGCGATTGAAATATTTAAATTGCAAGGACATTTAATATTTTTCCCATTATCTTTGGGAACGGGTTATCTGAACTGCGTTACATCGGGCTGGATGCGTTAATTACACTATGCCCCGCGGTAACCGGATGTAACAGCTACGACATGCTTTACGATTTAACGTCCGTCGCTTATCCAGGTTCATTAACGTGACTGAAACATAGATAGGTTCTCGCAAGTACTGTTATCGAAAGCGCCTTTATGCTCCCTCGCTCCCCGTTCATTCGAAAACGAAATTGGCCGCAATTAATCTAATTTGCGAATCAAATGGGCACTCGCTCATTTGTTATAATAATCTGCTTTAAATTGAACAATGACAATCTCTTCATTGAATTTGAAACTTCAAAGATAATTCTATTTCCATTTCACACAGATTAAGAATGTGTATGTGTAGTTTTATAGTATGTATGAAATCATCGTGTAAGAATCATTCGTTCTTTTTAACAAATATTTACGAATTTCGTGATTGCATTATGAGTTGAATTTCTAATTATTTATTTCGGAGGATACGAGTTTGAAGCAGATAAACAACGTCCACGGTAATGCTTGCTTAGCTAGCTTGATCCCCGGTTCTGCGGACGAGGCAATCAGCCGAGTTAGATGCTTCAGGAATGTTTCCCTGTTGTATATGTTATTTGTCACCCGTTCGCTAGATTCTGAACACGGCGAAAACTAGAACGGGAGGATTGGAGAACAGGAAGATAAGAGGAATTCTACTTGAACTATGCTCGCTCTTGTCGTTTTTGCTTTAATAGGGGAAGTTGAAAAACGCTGAAACAGTTCGAGATTTAAAGTGAAATTAACATCAGTTGATGTTAAGTGGTGAACGAAAACTAAGTCAAGTTTAAAGAATTTTTAGGCAATTAAATACAAATATAAGAAATAATATAATAAATGCTACAATTCACAAAATAACCAATACACATGAAATCGATATATTGCAAAAAATCATTACATGAAACTACTATTATGTAAAGTTTAATGAAGTCTGTACATTATTCCAAAAAACAAAAGGAACGCGTGTTAATGGTTGGAGTGGGCGTTGAACGTATAAAGGAACTGATAATTGGGAAACGCGGCGACGCTGAAAATGAATTCGATTGCCGGCTCGAAAGCAAAACGGGTATTTACCCGCGGACAGATTATGTTTTCCGAAAGCTCTGACGCGCACTTCCGTTGTCAGCGCGACGCTATCCTGTCAACCGCGATTCACGTTGCTCCGTGCTCGCCCACCGATAAATTGATTTAACGATGAATTACGCGCACAATTTTTATGAACAAAACCGACACGTTGTATTGTCAATAACCGTAAAATCAAGCTGAAAAATTCTTACACTCTAACGTACTCATATATGATAGAATACATAACAAATTTTTAATAACATGTAAAAGATGTATATATAGAATTTATTTTTTAATAGTATATAAAGGAACGGATCAGCTACAAATGATGGCGAATATGATATTACATCCATGGTACATCTTAGATTGTATACCTGTCATGGATTATTATACTATAATACGACGTGTATTAAATAACGTATACAAATTTATATTATTATACTACTTTATATATACTACTGCTTTTATGCTTTTATAAAACAGAATGTACGTATTCACATTGCATAATACATATATTCCACGTAAAATGTATGTGCTTTGGCTTAATTCACGAATATCTATACACAAATAATGCAATTCCATTATTCCATTTATTCTTCTTTTGTGTGTTGAAACTGACGCAAACTCGACAGAGGAAATTAATTTTGCAAAACGATTTCAATCGATTCTTACTTTTTAATAGAGCGTTATTTAAAAATAGTATCCAAATCAAGGGAAAATGTACACAGAAAATAATTTTTCGCCGCAAAACGAATATGAAGAGCAGAGGGAAATCTCGTGTCGCTTATTATTTAAAATATGTATACTGGAAATCGTGAAAATTTCCGTAGTTGAATTTCCGCTTATTATCGGTGCACATATTATATTACGTTGCTCAAGTATTCGGACATCGCGAGAGTCGACGTTAAAAAATTCATAAATATTTATTTCATAACGAACTTCGATGATTTCGATTCCTCGCATTTTGCATATTACATTAAATAATGAGGCGACGGTTTTTTCGTTTCGTGCGCGGCTATTAATCAATGCCATTTAATTGCGAGTGCCACGAATTTATAATTTATTTCTTCGTACGTTTCCAAGAAACAGTAGAATTATGCAATAGTCGAAGCATTATCTTTTTGTATTAAAATTGTTCCGATTCATCGTAAGTCCAAATTAAAACATCTAATCAATGATTTCTCGCAGGAGGAAACAAAAAGTGTATTCGTGTATATTTTGTTGCGAACGAAATGTATGTAAATTTAATATCACTGCCTGTTCCATTCGTGATTTCTAAATTATATTCAAGGTTTCCTTACGAAACGTATTTCCTTGCTTAGCTTCTCTATAGCTACATATATGCTTATACATCCATGATAGCACACGTACAAGTCGTTATTCGCAACCCAGAAATCGTGAGTTATTATTCTGCCAATTCCTACATTCCGAACGTATCGCATATGGCAAATTATTCATTACGTGGAAAATTTATTGCTCGCAATATGTCCGTGAATGAAGAGCCGATCTTACAAAATTAAAGTAACTCAAAACTGTATGATCGTAACATTTAAAATATAAAACGTGATAAGAAACGTGATAAAATAAGTAATTATTTTGATCGGATTTATGGTGGCTGCGACTCGATTTAGCAATTAAGCTGTTATTAATTTTCAAATGCTTTTTACATCCACAAAGTGATCGTTCTTGAATCTGGGAACCCAATATCATCGGATGGTGTCGAATATCGCGCGAGCTAAACTGAAGCACGGCTCGCGAGTGCCACTGATGGAGGCACAGCGTATACACGGAAAGAGAGTGGCGTGCCCGGGGCTACTTACCAATGCCATTACTGGCCTTTCACCCCTCGCCCCGTCGCGTTTCGCTATCCTAACTCGTCCCGTCCTTTCCGCGTCACGATGACTCGGCCTCGCCACCCTCTTCTTCCACCCGCGCCGAGCCGCATCGTCTCGAACCAGACGATTCTCCTGCCACCGACCCCGTAGCCGTGCCCGGTACCCTCTCGCTTGAACCGTCCGTACAACTTTAATGACTCGTGATTGTCATGACTTCTGCTCTTTGCGCCGCTCTTTTCGCCCGTAACGTGCGGTTTACCGAGGGAAAACGATGTCTGCTGCGTTATTAATTCCTGAGCGAAAGTTTTCAGCTAACGAACCTCTCGCCCGGATGTACATATGTACCCACCTTCGAAATCCTCCCACACTTTCGCCCGTCTACGTCAACTCCGGAATTGTCTCCCCGTTGAGTGACTCGACGTCGGAATTGAAATTTAGGTACTGTCTCTTATCTAGCCTAATATCAAAACGTTCTACCGTCGCCGGGGATTCTCTCGTTTAAACAGACTGTCGACGAGCAAAAGATCTTTCCGTGTTGACATTTTATTTTAACATGACTTCATACGTTCAATGGTTCTTCTGTTAATTCCGATTTACACGTCGCCTGTGGCGTCGATAATTTGAAAATTCGAGACACGTATGTACTATTTTCTGATGAGCTGATACAATTATTAAGCGCGGCAACCGGGCAATGAAAGAAATGGGTGTAACTTTTCGCGTAAAGGCAGTTTTATACCCGAAAATCCATCGGTTATCTGGCGCAGTGGTAATGCCACGGCCGCGCGCCGGTTCAACGTCGTTAAACTTTTTCATCTGCTTTCGAAACTCAAAGCCGGCGAAAGTTTTTCTTCCGTTTGCAACGTTGGGTCGATGGGAGCCACTACATAAATGCATTCTACCTTCTCCCTCCCACAGACTCCCTTACCTTTTTCTATTTCTCTTCTTCTCCCACCTACCCATCCATGGAAGTTTTCCCTCTAGCTGAGAAAATACTTCACGGCTTTACCGCGGATCATTACACCTATAGATTTCACTCGCCTCTTGATTCCCCCCTGGATGAATTGTGTTAATTCCAATACTCCGCCTACCTTCTTTTTTCCCCATTTCTGACCCGGCATTGTTCACCTTTTCATCGTTCTGCTATTTCTCCTTTGTTTGAGAATATTTCAGTATTCAAAGAACTTAACCGACTGTATTTGAAATATCATTCTCTCCGATTCGATGGTAAAGAATCATTAATTAGAAATTGCCTGAATCATGGGTCATGATATTTCGGATTAATTAAAAATGCAATTGCTTTCTCGATGAAAGATCGTCGTCGATTCCAAATCTGCTACACGAAACGTACCCTGCGATGCTGTACAACCTTCTGATATCATTCGAACGTTTTGTGTGCCGCTAATGGCCGCATGGCGTGATCAACTTCTATCCCGGTATCGCGTACGCCGTTTTTTTGCTCAATTTTTTGGTGGCCTACCTTGGCTCAAAGTATTCTCATTGCGAGCGTCGTAGAGACATTTTGTACCACGTACGTTCCGGCATAAATATGCATTAACTTGGAATGGAAATCGCGATAATTGAAAAGTAAAATGAACCGGGAATTCAAAAACCGTTATTCCGTCATAATAACAAATCGGTCCTTTGACGCCGCGATAAAGAAGCCGTTCGATCGCATTTCCCGTTTGCCAGCACCTGTTTTCCACTAAAAATTTTCACGCCCCTTTGACATGCATCAGATTGAATGTTCAAAGCTCCGTGGCCTTTCAGTACGTTTTTTAAATCAGTTTTAAGACAGCAATTCGAAACGTGGTAGTTTGACGTAGTTAATTAATAGTTAAATAAATTATAATGTTTGTCATATTTTTCGCGACCCAATGTTTCGCGTTTTCTTTTATTGTTCTTATAGTATTTCTATTTTATTGACTGCTTAACGCTTAACTTGTCAGAGCGCTGGAATCACGATTATGTCACGACATTACAGACAAACTGGCAACCTATACGGTGTAATATTGTTACTATTATTACCGTCATTGCGATAGTAATCGTTAGGTAGGAAGTCGAATCGTGTCATTAATAAGCTCAGCTATACCAGCATTTCACCTTTAATAAGACAAGGAGAATGTTACAAATGGTAGAATAGCTTGTGTGAGAAAGAAACAATTCAGAGATATAGAATGCAAGAGAACGGGACAAATAATAAGATAATCCTAACGTGTATATGTACACATATGAAATTATTAGCTTAATAAATATATATGATTAATTATTATTAAATCGTTTAATAAATGTTATCATACGATCGCTTAAATTATTTTATCAAATAATTTATAACTGACGACGAGAGTGACTTCCACATTTTGAATGCATAACACAAATGAGCTAATTATGTACATTCTTCTGCTTAACCAAGGTGATCACAGCAACGCGGGAAGTAATCCATTAAAGGCTATTAACTTAATGACGAAACTTTCTTTAAATTACATATAAGAGAATGTAGTGGTAGAGCGAACTGAGTTCTGCATACTCTCAGCAATTACTTAGTATCTCAAGTAGTTATAATGCTGTTTATCAATACTGCTTACTATTTACAATTCCATAATGAACATGTAATGTGAGAGTTGAAATACGTGAATAGCAAGAATTGTTATATAGGGTGAACCACGAATCGTAGAGATTAATAGAATCGTAGAAATTAATTAATGTAATTAGCAGTCCGATGCAAAATGTTTTTATCAGCAAAAATCGTGGAAAAAAAGAGTTGACAGAAAATTTGTTATAATAACATGAAAACTCTGCTATACTTGATAAAAATATTTTCCATCGGATTGCTAATAACAGAATAATACTGAGCACGATTCGTGGTTCACCCTGTGTATACAATAATCGTCAGTTTCTATTGCTTAGCGAAGTTTTCTCACAGATTTAATGTATGCATCTCGACTATGATGAGATGTAAGAACAATATTATTTGAAAAACTAATTTACCTAGTTGAAACGGCGGAGTGCACTAAATGCAAGTTAAACAACAATTGTTTTGATTATATTTTGCATCTATAACAACTTCTGCACGAACGGTCGGTCATGAATGCGGGTAAACGCATAGCAAAGTTAAAACTTTCGTATGAATATTCAGTCTGTGGACATTATTTATAAAATCACGGCGCGTAACTCGTGCTCATCGAATTGACATTATTGAACGAAAATAATCGTTGATCGGGAGACAAAATTAGGGAACGCGCATTGCCAGAGTGGGAAATAAAATCGATGTTGATACCTGCAGCTAAAATACATCTAATTAATTCAACAACGTTTCTATTAAAGTCTCATGTGTATTAATGCCGCACTTTTCAATGGTAAAAGAATAACGAATGCATTGTCATTGTCAGTAATCGAAATTTTGATGCATTCTGCTATAACGAGGAAATTTATTGAATGATTTCTTTAGTTTCAGTGAAAATAATTTTTATATAAAAAAATGAAGATGTCCAATAATTCATCATAATTTTATTATTACTTGTATTACTGAAATTTTTTAAATCCTACGTAAGGTCCTCAGAGTTTTCAGGAATTTATTTTAAATTAATATATTTTATTTATGTCGCATGATGAAGATGTAATTAAAGGATCTGTTAAAAGCTTCGAACAATAAGTTGAATTTTCTGTTTGCAGGCGACAAGTACGAGCAGTCCCTGTCGGACAACACGTACAAAGTGCATATGAAGCTAACGATATTATCGGTGGAAATGTCCGATTACGGAACGTACAAATGCATATCAAAGAATTCTCTCGGGGAAACTGATGGCAGCATTAAGCTGTACGGTAAGTACACGTTCGACCTTTATATTTGAATTTAAACATGGATAACTTGCGGTAGCAATAAAAGTACGTGTACATTTAACAAAAAGCATGTACATTTACTGTTCCTGTAAAATTAATAAAATTATCTCTCTGCGCTTGTACGTACATACGTCCTTTATTCTTATTGCATAATGCAATCGCTTTTTTACATCGATTTCCAATTTATGAAAATTACGAGTGTTCTACAGGAAAAGCTACAAACTTTTATGTATTATTTTATCTTTATCTTCCAATCCTGGTAAATATTTTAATTATCAGTAGAAATATTGAATCCTCGAATGGCTTATATATTATTTCATTCTATGCAACGTTCGTGTGAATTAGCAAGGAAAAAAATCTTGTTTAGTAGGGTATCAAATAACGCCCGCGCGAAATGAGACAATTTCGAAACGGGCAGCGGTAAACACAGATTATACGACGCGATAATCGGAATCGGCGCGATTCTTTCGATAAAAAGGAACGTAAATTGAACGAGGTCGGTAGGTACCCGCGGTGTGATTTTAATAAAGGAGTTGACGCCGGGCCACCTGGTGCCTGCAACACAACGCGATACGACGCGACGCTGCGGTTTCGCATTCGCAAGAACCGAGATTTAACGCAACGAATATTTCTTTTCACCGTTGCCTTGCTATTCTAATTCTTAAAGCGAGACTCTCATTCACTTAATTTTCCACTGGCCTTTGAATTTCATAAAACCACCCGTGTAGTTTATTGTAATCACCAAACAGTTTATGCATTTTTGAGAAAATTCATCTTGTGGAAAATACGAACGCTACATGTGAGGCATAAAGTTTTATAAATTATACGAAATGAATAAATAATATAG